AGCCTGTTTGTAATCAAATGCTTCTTTGTTTTGCGCTCAGAAATTATGTGGCACTAACTACCCAGTTAGCATTGCCTTCATTGTGGTCAATGAGTTCTGTGAAAGATTCTCTTACTATGGAATGAAAGGTAATTAAATTGAAAAATGAATCGCTCTAATCTGATATCACTTTTCTAATATATTAATGTGTTTTCTAATGATGTATTAATTATTATGCATCTTATTTATAAAGCGGTGCTCACGCTTTACTTCATCCACTACCTACATTGGGACAAGAATCTGTCTACAGCTGTGTACCACGCTTTCTCAAGCCTGTGTTACTTCACTCCGGTTCTGGGGGCCTTGATAGCCGACTCATGGTTGGGGAAGTTCAAGTAAGTCATGCTGTGTTAAGAAACATCCTAACTTAGAGTCTTATCCTATCTGCTTAGTAATGCTTATTGTATTGTAATTTCTACATAAGATTTGAAAAAGTTTCTGAAATACAGGATACGTTTCTGAAATACAGCCTGTAGCATTGTACTTAATACTCAATAGATGAATTATAGGATTTTTTTTTCTGTTCACAGAACTGTCATCTATCTGTCTATAGTCTATGTGATTGGTCATGTGGTCAAGTCTGTCGGTGCCATTCCTGATGTGGGGGACAGCACTGTTCATGTGTACGTTTCTTTTGATGCTACTGTGAGACCATACAGTAAATCTGCTTCAAGTGAAGTAAATATTCATTTTATGGAAGAGGAAGGAAGGACAAATACTATTTTGTTGGTTAGAAAAATACCGTTTTGTTCATTCCTTGTAGAGTTTTGTCAATGCTTGGTCTGGTCCTCATAGCTTTTGGGACAGGAGGGATCAAACCATGTGTTGCAGCATTTGGTGGTGACCAGTTTGATGAAGAGCATGTAAGTCACAATATAAAATTATTTCAGTTACCGTGGCCCCGTTTACACCTGTCAAATTCCATAAATGTAAAAATTTGCTCATTTCAAAACGTAATTTTTAATAAAGCACAGTAAAATCTGAGATTGAGCCGAAGTGTTGTACAG